GTCGTCCTTTTTCGTATTCGCATTTCTACTCAGGTTCCGACAATTATGTCGGAAGCGCCGACGTCGGCGGTCGGCACGAAAACGAAAGTGCCGACAAAGCCGACAGGAGAAAAGGGGTCGCTGGCAGTCGGCCAGGCCTCGCACTACGCACATTGACTGATACAGGTGGGCCTAGCGATAGCATCAGCCGCCTCGCGGGCCGGGTCGCGTCGCGATTGTCGGATTTCAGACGATTGTCGGCAAACATGCAGGTCTAGGTAGGAGGAAGGCGGTGGCGATGGATTGGACATACTCTCAGGAAGTCAGGCAGTTGTATAACAAAGAAAGTTTTGGATATGAATCCACAGGGTAAGAAATCAAGGGGAAGACCGCGTGGAACCTATAGAAGAATCACAGAAATCGATGTACAGAAAAGTGGGAAGACATGGAATAACATCAAGAGGCTAGCTCATGATAGAAAAAGGTGGAAAGTGTTTGTCCGTGGCCTATACCCTGGTGCAGGGTGAGAAAGCTAATGATGATGGTCTGCTGTATCCGAATCCCATTCAGCCCATGCTGGCCCTGACAGTCAGAGCAGCCAACCTCCTAAAAGATGTAAATTATATCCATAGAGGCGAAGGATAATCATTACTTTTACTTTATTTTTCCGATCCAGCAGCCATCTGCGTTCGAGAACTTTGTCCTGTGTAATGATCATTACAACCATTACAGTACAGCTAGATGTGTTGTTGTTGTATTCAAGCTCTTCTCAATACGGTAAGTTTATCTTTTGGACACTTAGTTCCTTAGAATACCGGTATGATTGATGATGACTGAGTAGGTGTTTTATGGCACTATCTCCTTTTGATTGTTTTACGTTCAATTGATCAGGTACATTCTTGATTTACTGAATGGTAAACAATGCAGCTTTATCAAGGAAATACATATATGTATTGTTGCTATTAGATGAAAAAGGAATTATTCTGTTTGACCATGCTCTTCGGGAAGCGTAAAAAACAATCACTCATTCTTTGTGACACTAGACATTTGTCAAGTAGGCTACCTGAGTGCATCATTTAAAACAAAATCAGTTAAGCATACAGCTCAGCATGCTGTCATTTTTGGCAAAAATTGTCTGCTGTAACTAACACTGCATCTCCCATGGACAATAAGAATACTTTTCTGACTTTGCAGTTCTGGCCACATGTGTTAAATCATACATTATAATCTATAGTAGAATAGGTCTTCATTGAAACATGGCCTGATTTACCTATTCCTACTTTTATACAGCTTGCGTTGAGTAAATTACATGTGATGTCCTCTGTGTCAACAAAAGTGTTTTTAGTTTTGTTTTGTTTGTTATTTTTGGAAGCCTGCCTTTCAAACCATATAAGGAATGAATGGTCTATGCCTTCTTCAACACTGTGCCACTTCTTCAAGGACAGGACGTCAAAACTATATCCATCTCGATATCAATATCAGCTATTTTCTTCCATGTCTAAGAGATCAAGTCATTTTTCATTACCCAGATACACATTCAAATAAGTCATTTAGTGTTTGGAACATAGCAACACAGGCAAATGGAAACCCAAGTTTGATCAAAAGGAAAGCATACCCACACAATAACATCAGTCATTTAGTGCTCTGAAAATTGACAGACTGACTGACAGAAACTTTAGTTTGTGCAAAGTGAAGCACTTTGACATAACAGTCCAGTCAGTTTGTGCTGATCCCCCAGAAAGTGCATAGGTTTTAGTTTTAGTACGAGTTTTACGGCACTTGCAACACAATAAGGTCATAAAAGCGCCGAAAATTAGAGGGGGGCTCTCGTGGCCTAGAGGTTAAAGTGTTGGCCTCTCATTCAAAGGTCCCTGGTTCAAATCCTGGTAGCCACCAAAAAATCTTCTCCAAAATTGTCTCCTTCCACTTCCTTTCCTGCTCTCTAACAATGTTCTGTTGTCTGCTTTCGTCTCCTCTTTCTGCCCCCACCCCCTCACCTCCTTTGCCCCCTCCTCTGGGCTCCAGACTCAGTGGTCAGACTCTTTCTGCAGCCTTTCTACTGCTACTCTTTGGCTCCTTCTTACTGTTGTCTTTAACTTTACTTTAAGCCACACCCCTGATCTTCAGGAAGGAAAGACCTACCCTACACCTAGCCTTCAAGGGCAAGGGCGAAAAATCTCGGTCGGAGGGTCTGTGTGCAAGTTGTGCAAGTTAAAGATCCCTTGGTGGTCTAAAATCAATAAGAGTAGGCTTCGGCCACCACCCGCGCAAAATTCAAAATTTCCTACCAACTGAAAATGTTTGGTGTGTCCCGCATGCTCATATGACCTTATGCAGTTGCAAATGCCGTAAAACACCTACCAAAAAATAAAAAGAAGAAGATTAGAGGTATTACAAGAGAGTAACAAAAAAAAAAAAGGAGAGATAAAGACGATAGTTGTTTGACAGGAAAGAAAGAGCAAACCACACCAGAGCACCCGCCAACCACTCACTTAGGTTCGAGTTTGACGCTCCTGTGAAAACGTAGTATTAGGTTATTCAAGAAGCAGGACCTTTGAATTGAATGTTCAACTCCGATATGAGCGGCTATTCCCCTGAACATACATAGTGTGTGATCCGTCACAACCTATAAATCTTGACTACAATTCTATCCGTAAACCCAGTTTATAACTATAGCAATGGAAGTCAACACAAACTTGTGACAGAAGTGTTGCTCGATCGCCGAGTGGTGGCGACCCATTTGTTTTACTATGGCATTTGGTTTACCTCGTCGACACATATCGTTTTGATTTGACTTTTCATGGGACCATAATTTCAACAAAACAAAACAAAAAAAGAAAAGAAAACTAACAACAAAAAGTCCTGCAAAACCGTCCTATTCTCTCCCCCATTTCTACAGAGATAAAAAAACCCCCACCCCTTCCCCCCTCCCATTTTAATGAGCCCTACGGCAGCCACAACCCTGCGACAACCTCCAGCTGGGACCTCAGGTAAATGGTATATTTTTTTCATTTTGATCAGTCCTGCGTATGACGGCTACCCGTCTTATACAGCCACTTTTTTTCTCGACAATGCGTGGCCATCTTACACAGGTTTGACTGTACACATTGCTGGCCCTATGTCGAGTCGGGTTGAAAAATAGACAAAACTGGACACCATAGAAGAAAAAGACGAAAGATCATTTCATTACCATCTTCAACACCAACACTCACATGATATGTAAAAAAAACACGCATAAGAGAATGTTGAATAAAAGCATTCGTTCAAAGTTTTATTTTATACTGTTTCGCTTACACAGGAGAACAGAAAAAAAATCAACAGAAGCTACCTCACATTGTGCAAAAAGGCAAATACCAGTTTCTATAGAAAACTACAACACAGCAAACTTTCATCTTTCTGGACTCATAAAAATCAAAGGCACATATATACAGGAGATTACAAAAAGCTGTTTTACTCTTTCAAGAAAGGAATGCATGAAGCTTATAAAAAAGTAGAAACTGGCACAGGGATACATCAACAGCAATTAAAAACAAGTAAACAAACAATAGAAATCCAGCAAAAAGCTCGAAAACGTATAAAACTTACACAAAATATCTAATAATGTACACGCTATAGTGAAAAATATAGAGAAAAGCTCGACCACTTGAGCATTAAGAACTACAGTGAAAACCATATATAACAGGGATCTGGTAATATCAGGGATTATGTAAATCCCTGTTCTTTCCTAATCTTTGTCTCTTTAAAAAGTTATCGGCAATAACAGAGCCTCATCGCTCATCGGAACCCAATCGGTTATAGCAGAGACAAAGGATCGTTAACAATGTGTAAAGAGAGAGAGAGAGAGAGAGAGAGAGAGAGAGAGAGAGAGAGATGCAGTGATGGAGCAAGCCCATGCAAGCCATGCCACTTCAAGCATACACAGCGGGGGAAGCGAGAGAGGGCTGCGGTGTGCTGCAGGCTTTGATCTAGCACTTATCCTAGCTACACACATGCGTAATGTGTCAAGCACAGGCCATGGGAAACTACCCACGAATATATATACAGCTGGATCATTCCACAAATGCTTACTTCCCTTGCATTTCTGATTTAACAGGACTTTTTCTCTGGTCCCACCATCCCTGTTATATATTTCCACTGTACTCTCATTCAAATGACTATACATTCATCACACATGCTTAAGTATTATTCTTCAAAGTACAGTATAAATGGGAGGACTAGACAGACACTCAATTCAATTTCCATATACAAGTCACAAAACAAATAATTCTAAAAAATACAGCTGAAATTTAACAAGTCTACTTTTAAACACAGCAATACTGTTTAACTCTTAATCAGCACATGTAGTACTACACCCCCACACACACACACACACACACACACACACACACACACACACACACACACACACACACACCCCCCCCCCCTCCCCTCCCACACACATACAATAAATTTGCTCAGAAAAACAAAACAATGCAGAGTGAAACAGTCCAAACCACTTTCTTCATTCAAATCCTAAATGTATGCAGATCTGAATGAGATGCCTACTAGACATTAAGAAGGAGCATTCGGACCCATGTGAGATTTCTCCAGCCTGAAAGTAAATACTCCAAGGTAAATGGGAATCAGAGGCTAGACAAAGCAGTACCAGTGTCTCCTGCCTTTGTACATGAAAAAATTGTGAAACTGTACAGGTTTGACGCCCCTATCAACGCTATTAAGTTATTAAAGAGATGGGACCTATGAGCTAAACCTCCGTCTATAAAAAAAAAAAAAAAAAAAAAAAAAAAAAAAGCCAAATCAGAAATTTGTGTAAAATGCCGTTCCCAAGGATGCCAGACTCACAACCTCGCGATTACGAGTCCAGTAGTTTAACCACTAGGCTGCATACACCAACCCTTGAACATGAAGCTTAGTAATGAGATCGAGAAATACATCGACACAATAATGGCCATTTAGTGCTTGGAAAAAATAAGACAGCTGACCAAAGGAATGGAAAAGTGGGAATGTAATTAAGTTGGACCCATCAATGGCGTCTTTTGTACTTGTTTGTATTTTGCTCAATAGCCCAACGGCCGCCTTTGCAAGTAGCAGAAAGGAAAATACGTCCAGTGGAGGGAAAAAGAGGAGCACACATGATTGTTCACAAACCAGGGGTGAAAATAAAATACAACACACTCAGATCATTTTGCTCCCTTGAGCACTCCCCCTCCATAATGAAAGAAAAGGAAATATGCAAGTAGAAAATAACTGAAGTAAAAGCAGTTTATTGCTGCTGACAGTCAACACACAAATAAAAGCCCTCGGTAAGAAGCCCTACTGGCATTTCAGTTCTAAAACTTCTTAGAGGGTAGCAACAAATCACATTAAATTTAAAGTAATACTGTTTCCTGAAGCACCAGTTGAGCAGACTAAAATATCAGTGATCTGTGAGTATATTTATATATATACATATATATATAAAACAAAAACAATACCAATAATATGCAAGCAGTGAGATCCACAGTACATTATCAGAGACAAATTCAAAATACAAATATGAAAAGGCTAAACCACAAAATGCTACGAAAATTGTAAACATGAAAAAAACTTCCCGCATTACAAGAATAAAGATAAAAACAAACGAATATTTCTAGGATTGACATGAGGTAGTCACATTCAAGCTTACTGTAACTAAGATTTATAAATTAAATCCTCGATTTCACTAAGCTTTTGGCCTGAAAATTTCTGCAAAGCAAATTATATGGATAGGCCCCTAATGGATTCTATTCATCTTTTCTCAGTCTTGGTTTACATATTAATTTATCTGGTCACATCACCTCTGTAGCTAAGAGCCTTAATTTTAAAAAAGCAAAAAACATGCAAATCTCGCTTGTACTTGTTCCATCATTTCTTCTAAATCCAGCAGCAAGAACTATGTTTCTGCTCAATCCTCTTTCTTCTCTTTGTTCACAAGTGCCACGTCTTGAATATAATTTGGAATCATGGACTGCCACTTAATTCTTTGCTCTGATGTTAAAAAAACAACATCCTACACAGTCATGATCCTTTCCCATCACCCATTTGTTCAAGTTCTATACCTGAGTTATTCTGTCGACCTCTGCCTCTTTTGCCTTCTACTTTCCAGTGACAGTAAGAAAAATAGTAAGATGAAGGCTTTTATACTGATTAACATGTTATAGAAACTGCACGCCTTATTTGTAAATTGTTTCTAATAGTTACTACTTAGACCTAAAGTCCTTAACTAAAATATAGCAATCATGTTTTCTTCATTTGACTACGACCTGAGTAAGAGTAAGAACACTTGTTAAAGAGATCACATTTTAGTTCAAACTTTGTGAAAAGTAGAAGTAGGTTGAAGAACAAGGCCAGAGAAAAAAGGAATCAAGATCATAGTACAAAGAAAGCTACATTTGAGAGAGATCTCTATTCCAATCTGACAAGCTTGACCTTAAAACATGAATAGCAAACAGGACTCATAATAACAAAGAAGCACTGCATACAAAGAACATAAGGTAACACATTCTGTCAAGTGGCACCAAAGTTACCAAACAGGACCCACATGAGGCCTCTGAAAAGAGAATGAAAAACATAAACAAAACACTGGTCCATCATATTACACAAAAGAGTACACCGTATCATATTTTAAAAAGTCAGAAAACGAAACTTTGGTAAGAAACAAAAGAACACAACATCAAAATTATTTTATGGAAGATATGCGTATCATACCAGTGAGGACAAGACAGGCACAAAATCCAAAGAACAATCCCTCCCTTCAAACAACACTTCAATTTCAGTATTACACCATTTGCCTTCACATAATAAAACTGCAACAGCATAAAGAACTTCCAAAAACAATCTTCACAAGGAATTGGAAACCTTTGCTTCCTGTCCAAAAACTAAGACATTAATGCAGAGATAAAGCACATAATATAACAGCTGAGATTCAAACGACAAAAAGTGTAACAAAACAGACGCTAATGCAGTAAAAAAACAAAAACACCCCTCATTCAACTATGAAAAAAGACTGAATTTTGTGGTCAACATCCGCTTCATGAAAAAAAATTTTAATACATCTGTCGTGCCAGTGGATCAAGAATTTATAGAAACGAACAGTACATACATATGTTTTGCGAATAAGACCATGAAACATGCACTTAAAAAGGGAAATGAATTGGCTCTAAACGAACTGCATTCCCATGTTTCAGCAGCCCTGTACTGAGAGACAATTTGAAAGATACATTGGTAATCAGCAGCATAATGTATATTTGAATAGCTGGCTAAATGAAAGAGCTGAGAAACTTCACCACTTTATCCACAGACACCGTCCCCAAATCATTGTCTCCCCAGTCATCATTGGAATTCTCACCTTCCTCTTTCGGCGCTGGGAAAGTAAAATGAAAATATAAAATAATTACCTAAAAAGGTCTTTTGAGGTACACAATAAACAAAACAGTTGATGATAGGCTGACTTTTTTGTTCTGTTACTTTTGACAGCTAGAGCAGGCAGACCAGACCCAAATACAGGGCTGCCTAACTCAATTCTCAGTCAAGTTTCCAGACCTTTTGGCTCAAAATCAGGTAGTACATAGACAAAGAAGGAAAAAAAGAAGATAATCGCTGCCCAGGCATAAATATGACCAACTTACTGACACTGTAGTACAGTAGTAAGTTTTCTTACATTAAACATACCCTTTTCATTTCAAAAGTCATCCCCAAGATCAATACGGTACAACTTGCTAATTTATTATTTTTAAAAAAATTTTTTAATGTTGATTTCACTATGCAAAGTTGATGTCATGTTGAACATGTGAATTTCCAATTTGTCCACAACCGGCTTTTCGTATTTTGAGGTATTTTCTGCTTTGCTTCTTGGTTTTAATTAGGGCAACAGGATGGCGTTGAAATCATTACACTAAGACCATATTTTAACAGCAAAAAATGAGGACAAAAGTAATGAAGAAGAGTTATTTCTGCAGTTTAGCAGAACAGAATGTAGGTCATAGCAAGTCACTGGAACAACAACTTATATTTGTTTAGTTTTTGTATTATTAGCACGGGGGGGCGCTCTTATCATTAATTTACAAGAATGATACAAATAAAATAAAATACCCCCCTCCCCCAGGGCAGGGCAGTGCTACTGACTGAGAGGCGCCTTATGGCCATTTCCAAAGGGAGGATATAAACATGTTCTTATGCACAGTAGAATTGTAAATGGGCAGACTTTTCAAAGCCATGCTCATACTGTGTCAGAACAACATAAGGGGAACTGCTGCTTTTTCTTTCCTCATCCTTACTATTTTTTGGTGTTTTACTGCGCTCACAACTGCATACGGTCAGATGAGCGTGTGGGATACACCAAACATTTTCAATTGGTAGGAAATTTTGAATTTTGCCCGGGTGGTGGTCGAAGTCTACTCTGACCAATTTTGGACCACCAAGGGATCTTTAACGTGCGCAAATTGCACAAGGGACCTCCGAGATTTTTCGCCCTAGTCGGTGTAGGTGTAGATCTGTCCTACCAGAAGATCAGGGGTGTGGCTGAAAGACAGCAGTCAGAAAGAGCGAAGGAGTAGCAGTAGAAAGGCTGCAGAAAGAGTCGGGAGCCCAGTCGAGGGGGCAAAGGAGGTAAGGGGGTGGGGGAAGAAAGTGAAAACGAAAGCAGAAGACAGAATATTGCAAGAGAGAAGGAAACAAGATGAAAGGAGATAATTTTAGAGAAGAAAATTTTTCGGTTGCTACCCGGATTCAAACCCGGGACCTTTGAATGAGAGGCAAACATCTTCAAACCTGTAGGCCACGAGAGCCCCCCTTGATAGTGGAAGCAGACTTTGTGCTGCTGAGGCCAGACAGGTGAGCGGAGCAAGCCTGAATCCCTGTTGACATCCACCTCTCGCTGCTCATATGACCATATGCAGTTGCCAGCGCCGTAAAACCTAACTAAAACTGTAAAAACTAACTGAAATAAAATAACAAAGAGCAAATACACCCCTGAGAAAGAAATATTAACCCTTAATGATAATACAGTAGCCTCCGCCTTAGATCCCGATGCTCGGGAGCAAGGAAATGTGGGATCTTAGGCGAACCGGGAACTTAACCGAAGAACACTGGGAAGAATCTACGGTGACTCATGTTAAGACTCACTATCGATAAAATGGTCTCCCTCCACTCTAAAATGAACTGACGTGACCCCTTGGTGGGTTTATGACATATGGCGAGCAAAGAGTGGTTAACCTTGATGGCCTATCACAGTGCATAGTGGCATGGGGCGAGCCATTTTCACTTATTATTATTATTATTATCCTATCATGAGTCTCAAGATCTACGTTTATCCAGTTGCCCCTCCATTTATGTCGAAAATAGCTTTCCATCAGTGACCGAGTTCCCCCCCCCCCACCCCACCACCTTTGTCGCTACACGCCTTTACGTTGTGATCACACCAATTAAAGTACCGTCTGTCTCGTCTCGGGAGTAGAGACAACTGCTGCTATGGTCAGGGAAGAGTTCATGGTTCGATGTGATCCCGCCTGGAGCGAACGTGTAGGCCCTACCCACCCAGCGAGTGATGCAAGTTTAGGGGGAGAGCTCAGGTGTTAGTGCGATGCGTGGGGAAAACAAACAAGTCGGTCAGTTCACACCCCGGTGTGATCCCGTCTGGGGCAAACATTGTATCGCTTCATAGATTTTACAACATGTATGTGATCACATTCACGATAGTGGCTGATCTTTGACGCGACGGGCAGTCTATTGATCTCAACTTTTCACTCTTGGTTGATCGGCTGTGCCCGCCCGGGTTTTTGTTCTGCAAATTATGATCTGAAATGCGGGATCTTAGCCGAATGTAGACCTTCAGAGTGAATCAGAGCGGTATCTTAGGGGTGACTTTTGTATAGTAAAAATTCTGTTTTTTTAAGACAGCGGGATCTTAAGCGAACCGGGATCGTAAGCGGTGGGATCTTAGGTGGAGACTACTGTAATAAATGACACTTATATAGTGCTCAACCCCGAATAAAGTACACAGGCTCTGAGCGCTTTACAATACAGTACAACATACAACAGTAACATGAAACGTTGTGTTCTGACTAAAGAAAATTATTCCAAATATTCATCTTATTAATTTGAAAACAGAAACGACGTAAGCTGACATTTGAATGAATCAAAAGATTTGATTTCTCTCAACGTACTTGGTAAAGCATTCCAGATCTTGGGGCCTTGGTATTCATATGCCCTTTCACCCATTGTTTTAAGTTTCATAGATGGTAAAATAAATTTCTTTCTGTCAGCTGATGACCTTAAACTGCGAGTTGGAATGTACAGTCTTAACAGATTTGATAAATATGATGGTGCATTATCATTCAAACATTTGTGACATAGGGTGGTCAACTTGTACACAATCCTTTTCTCAACAGGAAGCCAATGCAAAGTTCGTAAAAGAGGTTTAGCAGAGCCTCGCTTTCTTTTCCGTAAAACTAAACGTGCAGCATTGTTTTGGAGAGAGCTGATCGCGACCACCGCGGCCCAAACTTACGTAAAGTGCTGATCGCAACCGCCTGTCACGATAGACATTGGCATAGTATAACGTGATGTACGAAAAGAAAGAAGTACTAATTTTTATACTGCTGGCTGGTCTGCTATGCAGAATTGATTTCGTCCGCAATTTTTCTTATCACGGGGTTTGATTGAGGCGCAAGGAGTTTTTTGTTTCACGTTGAAGTCGAGTGACCGTGAAGTGGAAAATTCGCGATTGCAACCCGCGACGAACATGAAAATAGTGTCGCATCAGATTCAGATGAAGATTTTCCGTATATTTTCCTTGAATTAGAAGATAATTTCGAGGGTTTTGATGCTAGAGTTAACACTTTGTGGAATGTAATTCTGGTCTAGACCTAGAGATCTAATGAACCGACAGTTTTTATTTAGTCATTTCCAACACCATTACTACAACAATAACTTCACAAAAATACTTTTTGCTTCACATATTCATAAAGAACTTTCAATATTCTATAAATTTTATTCTTACCTTCATTAAAAATTTGGACAAATAAAAAAGTTATACGCAAAAAAAAAGCGTACGTGCAAATCTGGCGTTTTTTCCAAAATAAATTCAGCACAGAGGGAAAATATAAGGGGAAAGAAGTCAGCGCTCTAAGGGTTAAGACCGAAAATTTTCAAAACAATCTTAAATCAATACATGATTCAGAACAAGACTATTTTGAAAGTAGAAAACCAAAAAGAAAGGTCCCTTAAGGGGTTGCCTATCCATTAGCATACGTTTTAGTAATCTACAAATAAAAAATTAGTAACCTGGCTAAAAATTACAAGCCTTTGATCCTGTTGTATATCACTGAACACCATGCCACGCATTGCAGCTGATTGGTTCAAGTATCAAATATTGATTGAGGTTGTTTTGTTTTTTATTCTCTCATTGGCCAACACTGTCACCAACAATGCAAAAGCAAATGCACAGGAATTTTTCTGCTGTTTTTTTTTGTGGCTCTCCTGTAAAAATGTAAAAACTGCATAATACTTCATTTTAAAAAATGAAGGCAGTGTGTTGCTAGGGGACAAACATCCCCTTCCCTCCCCTCTCCTCCACAAAAAAACCCACCTGTGAGGATGATGCCCCTGACTTCTGGTCCCCTGCGTTGACGTAGGCACCCGGCCATCTGCTGGAGGGCACAGCCAGGCTGTATTCGACATGGGCACAGGTGGATGAACTTGACCAGACCACTCAGCTGTGACGAGCGTAGCAACGCGAGACACTTCTCAGTCTCCACGACATGTGGACTGTACTGGGGAAGCTGCCCTCTGACAAGGGTTCAAAGAAGTTCAGGTCAGTACAGTGCATGTTGTGGTAATATCTATTCATCAAAGAGACACTATCAAACATTCATCAGGGTTCCAAAAACCCATCTGCACAGTTGGGTTTCACGGCAAGTTGGCAGAATATACACGTCATAAGTAAGTTGTGACTAGTTGAATCTTATAGAAATTCATTGCAACGACAGCCATATTTTGATAAACGTTTTACAGAAACACATATGCAATGCAGTTTAAAATCATCTGAGTAGTAAGTTGCTTTACCCTAACAGAGTGGGGTGCGGTATCAAACAGGGTTGGGTTGATTTAAATAAGGTCGATTTAAATCAATTGATTTTTTACAATTTAAATCAACATGATTTTTAAAATAAAAATCAGTGATTTAAATCACTTTTTTTTTAAAGATATTTTATTCAGTTTTTACATATTGAAACATTCAGAATTCCTTTCCCTGGTTTTATAAAACAAATATAAGGTTTAAAAGACTAATATAATCATGCTTAAAAGTCTGCTTTTGCCCCGTCACTGTGAAATAATACAGTACTGACTCCTTTTACTTTTTTTTTTTCATAATTGAAATTAGCATTTTCTTTTTTTTTCTGTTAGACAAACACAAGCGCGCACACACACTCAGACTAAGGAAATGTCTAGATGTATTAACTGTAAACTTAATAATTTATTGAATGTCAGATCAAATCAATTGTGACTGAGGAGAATAAAAACATTGACAAATAAATCACAGTGTAACAAAAATAATAATTCAGATATTATTGCAAGGAACCAAATGGCAACTGAAGGAATTTTTAAAGTAAATTACTTTCATACAATATTAACAGTATTACAATAACCAACAATTTAGATCATGTTGAAATTATCCATTGAGTTGTTTGGGGTTGAAGGTTTTGAAAAGAAACAATAATACAATATTCAATTTCCTTTTTTTTTTCATAACTGAAATTAGCATTTTCTCTTTTTTTTTTTAAATTAACAAACACAAGTGCGTGCACACACACACACGCAGACAAGGAAATGTCTAGATTTATTAACTGTAAACTTAATAATTTATTGAATGTCAGATAACTGTTATAGTGGGTGGTTGGCGGGTGCTCTGGTGTGGTTTGCTCCTTCTTTCCTGTCAAACATCTATCGTCTTTGTCTCCACTGTTTCTTTTTTGTGTTTGTTACTCTCTTGTAACACCTCTAATCTTCAGCACTTATATGACCTCATTGTGTTGCAAGTGCCGTAAAACTCTTACTAAAACTAAAAACTGTTATAAAATGCAAGTTTATCGTTGCATATTTACCTCCCTTCCTTTTAGACTGACTTTTTCTTCATTTTTTGTCTGTAGTCATGAATAATTCACTGGTATAGCAGATTAAGGCTTTCTTTTGCATTTGCTTAAATTAATCATTAGTTAATATAAAGACAAATCATTTTGCACTAAAAGAACAATCTTTTAGCCACAAAAAATTCCAAACTGTGTCGACATGTTAATCTAATTTAAATCCAAAACATAGATTTTTTAAATTTTTATTTAAAAAATCAAAAAATTAACCAACCCTGGTATCAAAGCTTGCAGACAGAAGAAATGCTTCACAAAATAATCTCACCATTTGGGCATTAGACTCAAAACTTCGGCATGTACCACCAAAGAGTCTAACAATTACACCACAGATGCCAGATACAGAAACATTGAGAGGGAGAAGCGCCCACAGAAGTGGGTTTTTTTAAATTTTAGTAGAGTTTTTATGGCGCTCACAACAGCATAAGGTCATATGAGCGCCAAGGGGTGGATGTCAACAGAGAAGTCCATACAGGGAATCAGGCTTATTCTGCTCACCTCTTTAGCTTCAACAGCACAAAGTCTGCTTCGACTATCGAGGCATCCCGGAAATAGCGGGTCACAAGAGTGCAACAAACATAGAAAAGAAGTAGAGGAAAATGACGATTGTAACGATTAGTCCACACATAAGTGTGTTTTGCTGATTGGCTGTGGCAATCATATACAAGAGTTTTAGTTTAGTAGGGGTTTTTCGGCGCTCGCAACTGCATACGCTCACATGAGTGCCAGAAGATTAGAGCTGTTACAAGAGAGTAACAAACATAAAAAAGATGACGGGGAGATAAGAACGATAGATGTTTGATAGAAAAGAAGAAGCAAACCACACCAGAGCACCCGCCAACCACCCACATATACAAGAACTAAGCAAACAACATGTTGCTAAAGCCACTAAAAAAACACTACAAAAATTCAAAGCTTTGTATCAGTATCAAACCCGAAACTTAAAAAAAAATAAGATATAAAGCCACATCAAGATAAAACAAGCAACTGAACTGTCTAGGACTTGTCATAAAGCAAGACAAACAAGCCATACTAGAAAGCTTCGTTATACAAAATCGATCCGAGTAGTAGATGGCGACTAACAATAATACATAGGTAAATGGGCACTGAACACAACATAGCTACATGACATGACACACTGAATGACACACATCTCCATGACAGACGAGACAACAAGAGTACAAAGACACAATAAGAAAAAAATACCACAGGGCTCACCTCATATCTTCTATCTCACAAATGGTTGAAATGTGAATATCCATGAACCATTTGTGTCCTTTCTTGTTGAGGTCACCAAGCTGCTGTAGTAATTTGCTCAGCATTTCTGTGCATGACGGTGAAATGACAAAAGTGAATAACATGGACACAGGCTGATAAATTGAAAAATTTGAAAGTGATTTTTAATACAATGTCATTTTTTTAAATAAGAAAAAGCAAAAAAAGCTAGTTGCTGAAGAACATTACATAAAACCATACCTATTTTTTAAACATTTGTATTTTATTGTCTTTAATATAAGTATTTTATTGCCCCCATTTGCCACAATTTAGATCACTCAGGAGATGGGCTCCCGACACGTGCCTGTTAGGGCCAAACCCATGCTGAGAGGGATACAAAATCCTAGCAGAAAGACAGATACTCCACAAAAATTATCCCCACCCGAGAATTGAACTCGGATCTCCTGCATGCAGCCACCAGTTGCCTAACCGTTACACCATCGACGCCGGTACCTTTGCAAGTGTGGTTTCAAAAACATTACTAAAATATGGCTGCTCACACAAACACACTATCTCTTTACTATATACTACACTGATCAATGCTACTGTATATCTTTTCTGAACTCTTAGTTTTCATTGGAACCAAGAACTTCTGAAGTGGACATGCATCCTATTCATATACATTACAAGCTATTTCTTTCCTAGTATATAAATAATACAAATATAATATAATATTTCATTGGTTGAAACACCATTCTAGCTATGGGTCTGCTCTACCATAATTAATATGAAATTTATACACACAAAATAAAGGCGAGGAAAAAGTAGCAATTGTCAATACAAGTACTGAAATTCTATTCCAGACATTCTACACAGAATTGAGGACTAAACTGCTATGCCATGAAAACTTACTAAAATTTGTTAGTGCTGCTGTCGCGGGCACTATCACCCCACTGCTTGTTGTGTGGTCCGTGGAACCAGACAGCGATGCCCTTTGACCATCCCTGGCTGCAGAAAGAGAAGGTTCCTTATCCTCACTCGCAGCCCTTGTCCTGTTCTTAGCTTTGGTAGACTCTGGACTTTTGGCAGAAGTGGCACGACCTGCAGGCGACTCTCTCCTGCTTCTGTAGTACGTAGAGCTTTGCTTACCATCGTCTCTGGGATGCCACGGCTCGGCTGAAGGTCTTACCTCTTCCCTGTCACTGGAGCAAGCAGCTGAGGGTTTTATGACGCCACTGTAACTTGAACTAGCAGCAGAGGATCTGCTCTGAAGACCTTTCTCTCTGGCCATCACTGCTGCTGGAAACTCATCAACTTCATAGTCTTGAAAACGTCTTGTCCCAATGCTCTTGCTGTCCTTACTGAGATGGGAGAAGGACTGTTTAGGCAAGTCTTCAAATTGTGATAAAGACATTATTGGTGGCTTCTTGCTACCTTCAGCAGGATCCTTAAGTGGTGAGAAACGTGACCTTTTCTTGAGCTTTGAAATCTTCCTAGGATCAGCCCTTTCACAGCTACTTTCATCACTGATCACTATTATGTTCCTTGAAAGTGGGCTGTTTTCATTCCACAAAAGGGACTCTGATGGTGCCCTGTTCTTTTCGGTATCTCTGAACACAATTCGATGTTTTGTATCTTTCTTAACACCAGAATTACAGGGGCTCTCGACATACTCAGGACTGCTTGTGAACCTTGAGTGACTCCTGGTCTTCTCAGGAAGTACTTTAGAAGATGTGGGGTCCAACTTCAAAAGTGGCAATTCTTCAATACTGTCATTCCTTTTTCTGTTACTACTGGTTTGAAAATCTTTGTCCTTAGGATAACTGTGCATCCACTTCAAACCTGAATCACTAGATACTCTATCAAGCAACACATTAGCTGATGAAGATGACACAAGAGAATCTTTCAAAATAAACTTTGGAGATACTCTTTTGGCTGTTGAAACCAACAGGTACTCCTCCGTAGGTGTACCTGGACATTTTCTCTTTCCATGCATTAAAGAAGTGTGACCTCCGACAGGGAACTGTGAAGCCTTTTCTCCTGAATTCATACGACTGCTATCCACTTTGGTAAAAACTTCTTTCACATCAGAAAATTCAAAATGAGGTTTTTTTTCCAGCTCCAAGGCTAAGCCCTGAGCAAGTGTTTTATCAGCATCCTCTGATGTTGCACCAGTATCCGACCTGAGCTCTTTTGGACTGGCATTGGACACAGGTAGTACTTCATCAACCCTCTGCGCTTTAGTTTCCCCAAATGAATCATTCGTCGAGTTATCTGACCATAAGACATTATTATACAGTTCTCTCGACCATTCATGTTCAAAGCTCGGTAACCGTGATTGTGAACGGGTGTCCTTAGCTTCTGCACCAAAAGTAGTAGTAACATTCACTGGGTCTTCACTTTGTTTACCATAGACTTCCTCTTTTACACTAGAACTATGGTCTTTATGAAAATACAAGCTACGCTCTGAGGAATCTTTATGTGCCATGGCTGATTCTGAACCCTGAAAATGGAGGGGACCATTCTGATTAGAATCGTTGAAATGAAACAATCTACTTTCTTTCTGCTGGTCAGACATTTCTTTATCAGAGCACAGTCGTTCTTCATTCAACTGGTCAACAATCTGATAAGACTTTTCGAGCTGTTCACTTGATGGCTTCTCACATAGCAGTTCCTCTGTCAACACAGCTGTCTGAGACACTGAAAAAGCCTTGCCATCACCAAACAATTCACTGCTCTTTGAGAAAATGTTTTCTGATATACAGGTTTTTGTTTCGCTCTCATTCATCAATTCAGTTGTCTGAGCATGCATCAACAACTCTTGACCATAAGACATTTTTTTCTCCCCCTTTGCCTCAGCACTTGCCGTTATTTTGTGGGAATGATTCCAAAGTCCTGGTGTATCTATCCCAGGAGACTGACCTAACTTTGTCGCAATATGTTCCCCCTTTGGGTCATCCAACGAAGGGGAATTGCACAAATTCTTGAGTTCAGTTAGTGTCTTCTTAGGATAATCTAATTCAATGGATTTCTCCACTGTCTTAGCACAAGGTATCCCCTCTCGACTGTTCGACTCTGGGAACAGCGCTGGTTTCTTTGTGTAGACTGCCCCCTCAGAGTGAACTGATGGGATAACTTTCACAATCTTTATGCTGGCCTCCGGCTGGTTGTATTGCCCGCGTCTCCAACCTTTGATACGATGCATCACTTCCCTCAGACATTTAGGTACCAGTCTTGGGTCTCTTGCTGGACCTGTGATCACCTCTACAAGACTGTAGTCGGTCTTTGCCAGTTCTGGATCCACTTTGAGCTCTGGGTAAGAAAAAATTTCAAAACAAATGGTAACGGAAGCAAAACATTTTTTTAAAAATTGATGTCCAGCTTTTTAAATTTACGGTGGGTTGACATAAAAATGGCTAGATCTTGGCAAATTTTTTTCCCCTTAAGATTAGTATAGTTTTACAGCATTTTCAATACAATTAGGTCATATAAGTCCCAATGATTACAGTGGTGTTGCTAAGGAGTATCATACAAGGAAAAGAAGGAGGAGAGATAAGGATGACAGATGTTTGATAATAAAGAAGGAGCAAACCACACCAGAACACCTGAAAGAAGGAGGAAACCACACCAGAACTGAACACCTGCCAACCAACCATGGCAAGGATGGATTAAAACAATAGTAACACAATAAGATATAGAAGGAACACAAATCACAACATCAGGGCAATCCCTACTAATAACTTGGGCTGCAAAAGTTATTGAACTTTAGAAAAATAAAAGCAGAGCAGAGGATCTCTTAAAATGTGCATCCCGCCCCCTAAAAATAGGTCAATGCTGTGGAGGTTAAAAGTCCTGTATCAGACTGTGACACAGTCACATTTAACCAATAGGCAAGACAGGAACAACAGATGCACTGGAAACACCCCCCCCCCTCCCCAACAACATGGTAGCCCCAGAGTGCACTAGAACACCCACCCATCAATCCCACTAAAGACAAAATGGGAAATACACGAGAAAATAACTTGTATAGACACGGCGACAATCATACTTATTGGGCTGTGGTCAAAAGAGATCCTTTCTGGGGTCCTGATAGACTTGAGGTGTCTGAGAGGATGACACCCTGTTTTCATTGTTCTCATATTTTTAATGGAACCCTCAGTCTCTGCAATAAATCAAAGACAAATTTATAATAAATGCAACAATAACATAAAAATTTCACAATTTAAAAACAAAGCATTACAATACAGAAAATAAAGAGCTCCTCACAACAGAACCTCTCAGGTTGCAGGCTCAAAATTGATTTTTGATTTCTTATTTATTTTTGTTGTTGTTGTTTGTTTTTTTTGGGGGGGGGTCATACTTTACTTCCGCAAAGATGGAATTTAGATAATTTAGATCATTGAGCTAAATAAGAGTTCATCCTAAGAGACAGATGGATATATATAAAAATACTTAATAAAGAAACTTTCATAGGAAGTAAACATAAATCTGTGGGTACCAGAAAAATCTGAAGAGTTACACAACAGATGAGTGATCACAGGATCATCTTTATGTCAAACAAGAAAGACTAGATAATATAAAGAGACTTCCAACTTATGACACTTTGTACCCCTTTAACTCTGTTTATACAAGCCTATTTGGTCAAAACAATGCTTTACATAACCATGGTATTTCCATCTTCTTTTCAAAACATTGAGACTTACAATTCCACAATAATACTCTTCAAACATGACTTATTAATTGTCATACAAAGACAATTCTCATCAAAACCAAAGTAAAAGACAAACTAAACAATAAGTATGGTCGAGAAATGTAGCAGAGAGCATTTTCTCTCGTGTGCTGTGTACAAAAATTTTAATGTCTCTTTCAACACGAAGATCATTTATGAGGATGGACCTCTGAACTTGACGTCCACATCTCGAATAGTACAAAGCCAGGAGGGTGGAGAGCCTTGAAAATCCCCCTCCCCTCCCTTTCCCTTAACCCTAGCTGCACACCACATCACAAATGTTATTGTGAAATAATCAAAAGAAAACAATCATTACTTTACAAAATGAAAAAAAGATTGTAAAATTTAGTATTCACTTTTTTTCTCGATATAAGGGAGAATTCACTTTTCCCTTGCGCATGCCCAAAAAAAAAAACAACTATGTGTGAACAACTCAATAAGTAAATCAGAAATTACAAACCTGATGTAGCATAATCCTTGCAGTGTTTTTTTGCCTTCTCATACTCTGCATGCAGAACATCCAGCTCTTTTTCTTCATTTTTGCTCAAACAGCGCCCAACTTTCTTTTTTTCCCAATACATTATTTTCTTTTTCAGCCTTCTGAGGTGGACAACATAATACCGATAAGGAACTGGGGACTGCTTTCTGACAACAGAGATGCCTTGATCACCACCAACTTTAAATTTTTGCTCCAAATTGTCGGTATCCTGCTGTGGCATCACGGACAACATGTGTTTAGTCTTCGAGGTCTTTAGTACATTGCTTGCATCAGGGGCAGAAGGCCTGGCTAGAGGGGTCCCTAACCACTGCTGCTCCTCCTTGTCAACCTTTGGTGAAGATGGCAATGATGGGAGTGAATATCGAGAAGAAAGAGGAAGAAGCTTTGGCGGCAGTGGAGGTGGCGGTGGTGGCGGAGGTGATGAAGACAAGAAGCAGTCCTGAAAGGGCAGACCTTCTGTCTGACGACTACTGTACTGGTTAAAAGATTGCACCATGTTCCCAATAGCATGTGCCCGCATCTCATGGGTCTGTGTAGGTGGTGGAGACTTCTGAAGCAATGCTTGCATGTCAACAGCATGTCCTACGCCTGCAGATTCTTCAGAGAGTCTAACACTTAATTTCGGGACGAGAGCTTCTGAATCACAGCTTTGAAAAGTTGAACCTGACCATTCGGTGGCTAATGAATTATGGTGAGGGTTCCCCAATGAATAAATTAGATCTAAGCTGGGGGAAGCTGTTGGCTCTGATAGACTAGCACATTCTTTATCTTGTACGGATGAGCTTGTGGTCTGGGTTTCCTGTGGCTCAGAGTCTTTGATGTTGTCACTGACAGGTTTGATGACAGAACAAGAACCAGCCAATATTTGCTCACCCTCTGAGGAATTACAAAAATTTGAAGCCTGGGGAAAAGCTGTACTCTCTTCTTTCACTTGATGGATACAAATAACAGCATTGTCAAAACTTTCCATAGAAACATCTTCTTTTTCTATATCATCTATACTACTTGTATTATTCCGATCTCCACTACTCCCAGCCACTGTCTGCCCATCTTCTTGTTCGGAAGCTACACTAGGACTAGTCTTACTGGCAACTGGGAATTCAAGTGCAAGACTATGTTGACAGAAAGGTTCATGAACCGTGTTGCAACCAGAATGCATGCCTGAAAGACTGTCACGCTCCCTTTCTCCAGCATCTCTATCTTCCGCCGATGAAGAGTGCTCAGACTCCGTCGCTTTGGGTAAGTTGTAGTCAAAACAAGAATTTAAGTCAAAGGTGTCTGGCTCTCCAACCTCATCCATTGTTTGACACAGGAACCCGTCCTCCGTTTTTTCTAACATCTCTTTAGTAAATACCTCATCCTTGCACTCTTGGTCTGTAGACTCAGCACCAAGATCCCCTGTCAGGGTTGAAACCTCATTGTTTGAAACAGGCTTGTCAAGACTTGAATGACAGGTGGACAAACTTGGGCCCTCAGCTTCAAATAATCTGTTTGATGTCGTAATGTTGTTATCTTCAGGAGTTGACACTACTGAATGCAACATCGGGAAAACAGATGAAGATGATGAAACTGCCACATCTGTAAGGGGACCCTCCAACGTATCTGTAGCAGATCTTGAAGACTGGGTAAGATTTGTATTTGCGCTTAAAACTGCCACATCTGTACAGGACTGCTTCAGCGTTTCAATGGAAGACGAAGGCAAGGTAAGATTTTCACTCACACTTGGTACAGAGTCCTCATCGTTTGTTAATATAATACGTCGGGAATCTTCTATGTCCGGTACATCCTGAGGATATCAAATGGATCAACTGTAAAGCAACCCATTATTTTCATTTTTAAAACTGAGAAGAGGCATCACTTTTACTTTTAGTGAGAGCTATCAAAAACAGAAAAGAGTCATAAGATAAAGTACATAAGCTTTCAATCAAGATAACATAGCTTTCAATCAAGATATTTTTTAGATATTCTGCAAATTCACACAGGGTAAAACATAAGCGACAAGGGGAAAAAAACATGCACAATCATTTTTAACTATATATCTCTCCTGCTGGCAAATACTACTTTGGTTATAATCAAACAGCAATGACCCTCTGATATTCCACCAAATCATGATGAGCTGTTACAAAAGATTACTGTTGTCCATTATTGACACAGACACGTGTTGATATCTGGAAAATCTTCTCGTCCACCCCCCACCTCCTATTTTTGGTGCCGATATTTGCAGGTTACGTAAACATGTGTTAAACTGGTGCAAACAGTTATGTTTCACAAAAAACAAAGAAAGAAAAACAACTAGAAAAAGTGGAATTGTTTAATAGGTGATGATGATGATGATGATGATGATGATGATGATGATGATAATGATGAAGATGATGAAGATGATGATGGTGGTGGTGGTAACGATGATGATGCTGTAATACTGTAAATGATGTGCATGTTATTCTTAGTGTTATGTGAATTTTTATATTTTTTTTAATGTCTGGAATATATCTAAACTGACAGACCAGAAACTCCAACCATTATTTTCAACAAGAAAAGAATGAAGCCCCCCCCCCCCCCCCCCCATTGTGTCCTGTTACTGTACAAGTACATTATGTCAAGTCAAAGAAATAACAAATAGAAAAAAAAACATGCAAGAAAAGAACCCAGCATCTCACATAATCTTGTATATTTGCATGCCTTCGTCCTTTGAGTCATGCAGTGCCAGCCAGCCAGGTTGATGTGTACATGGCATCACAATTGCTCAGGTTCTAGTTTGTTTGTTTTTTTAATAGTTTTAATAAATTTTACAGCACTTGCAACACAAATTGGTCATATAACTGCCAAAGATTAGACATTTTACCAGAAAGTAACATACAAGAAAGAAAAGGAGGAGGTGAGATGAGGACAATAAGGGGTTTGATAGGAAAGAAGGAGTAAACCACACCAGAGCACCCACCAACCAAGCTCTTGCTCAGGTTCCAGAGAAGCCATTGTAAAATATTATCTTGCTGTGAGTGTACCCAAAGACCAGGCATTAGAATAACTGATATCTAACAGTTTTCAAGCGTCCTCATGAAATGATTGTTTTCGCTCCATTTTTTTAATTTAAAGAAATGTATACACACACAACACGGTGGATGGGTCCTAAAACAGACAACAACCACTTTTTCCCCCACTTTTATGACAGATGACCAAAGCCACATTAAACATTAAACACAGAAAGTAAAAAGCCCCCTTTTCTGCCATACCTTGTTAGATGTGACCATTGATGACAGAGTGTCCTCTCCATTGGAAAAACCCCCAGTTGTTGAAGGATCTGGAAATGTTTCGACCATATCAGCCAAATTCTTGCGAGCTTCAAAATCTTGAATGTCATCTGGTGTGAGTAACTTCTCCGGTTCACTGAGACAAAGTGTTTTGATTATAATCATTAAGTCACATTGACGGGATGAAAGGTACACTTAACACTGAATCACACTGCTTACAAAAGTAGTAGAAAATGTGTGTATTATAATGGTGTAACAGCCTATCCTAGTCCATATTACTGAGTCGTGTATCTGAGCACTATAAAAATTGCCTCATCATCACACTGTGTACAAGTTCAGTTGTAAATTGCTCACTACCACTCAGTCTCACCCACTGCACACTGACAAACAAAAAAAACAGGCCATAACATGCAAGAATCAGTCATGCTGTGGAAAAAGAACCCATTACACCTTGCTAGAAAACAGAGAGAATGAATTTAAACTAACTAAAGAAAAACGGAGAGGTACAAAATGTAGACACAGACTGACATGACTGACAAGGAAATAAAATTACTACAATTTTCCTGGATCAGGAGAACACAACGGAACACAACAGTAATTTAGACCAGCAGAGACAATGTTTTAATATTTGACAACGACAAACAACTAACAACAACAAAAAAGGAAAAGCACCTTAATATAACACCCCCATCACCCTTATGAAAAGTTTCTTATTAAATTGCAGTAGATTTGAAGCAAAAATGTCCCCAGTAAGTATCTTCAGTTAAGCTACAAACATGTCAATGGACAATTTAAATCATAAAATCTACAAGCTTACATCTCTTGGTCTTGTGCAGATACTTCCGAGCGCTTGAACCTGTAATTGGCAAAACGACGATATGTCGCCTGGTTCCTCTGTCCATGCAAATGGCACTGTCTTCCAGACCACTTAAACGTACTTGAGGTCATGCACGTCATCAGCTCATTCAAACTGTTGAGGCAGAATAAATAGTGAGACACTGATATAAAGAACAAGCCCTGGCAGTAAAAATAGTTCTTTATATCAGCAACACACACACACACAAACATACTTTTTCTCATAGCCCTTTTCGGTGATAGTAATAGGAAAAGTATACATGGTACATATCATGTACAGTAACTTATTTCATCCCAAAAGAAGGAAAAAAAGAAATTATGGATGTTTTCTGCTTCTCCCTTTCTCCTACATCCATGATTAACTTTTGCACGTCCCAAGAACATAAGACCCCCCCCCCCCCCCCCCACATTGACTATGAATTAGTCTCTCAATTTCTCCACACTTTGTTTTGCCTCCGCGAAGCTCACTGTCACAATTATCTGCTCATGGTCTTCAATGTTCGAGAAGACCCAGAAAATACGAAATCACTTTCACAACAACAGGATTTGATTATCTTTTGTACAACAAGAAGCAAGTGAAGATGGAGATGAAGCGATTATAAACAGGATGAAAAAGAGGCCAAACGAGCGCATCACCCCTATTTTTAGACCGACGCACGCAACGCGTATGAAACTCCAGTGTACCCGCTAGCCGCAGAGCCCCATTAAAAAGTGTGTGGGCAGTGTGTAGTCACTGTGTAGACAGACTCGCATGGCAGTTGGGCAACTCTTGGTTCCATCAACTCATAGAGATGGGCTGGTTCACTGCTTCAGTTGTAAATAAGAAGGAAAGACTTGTGGGGCAAGAAAATTGGTGCATTACAGCCGTCAGCTCGTCATTGTTTATTCATTAAATGCTTCATTATATAAATAATAGAAAGAAAGGAAAAAAAGGGACAAAGAAATGAGTTCTTTATTTCTGTCAGTTCTAAAGAGCGTTTTTTTAGGTTTGTTTTGTTTTAGTACAGGTTTTACTGCGCTCGCAACTGCATAAGGTCATATGAGCGCCAGGAGATTAGAGGTGTTAAAGAGAGTAACAAATACAAAAAACAAGGGGAGATAAAGACGATAGAGGTTTGATAGCAAAGAAGGAGCAAACCACACCAGAGCACCCGCCAACCACCCACTTTTTATAGGTGTGCTCTACTGTAAATCACTTTTTCAAAGACTTCTTGTTTTAAAATATATATGAAATGACAACACCCACCACTCAACATGCTTCAGGAGTGTAAAATAATGTATAGTTTCATAATATGAAAAATAAGGGAAAAGCAGATAATGCAAGAATGAAATCAAAAGAAAATTGTGACTTATGCTATTGAGAAAAACAAGCACCAAGTTTTAAACCATTAAATATTATCTAACAAGCACAGTGCAAACTAAACAAATTGGTGACAACGCCAGCACCTCTACAGTTTTACTTGGATAAAGATAAAAATATAAATAGACAGACAAAGAATAGAGAGCATTTAAGAAGACAAAGTCTTCAGGAATCAAACTTTAAGGGATCTTTAACATGTGCAACTTGCACATAGGCCCTTCGAGATTTTTCTCCCTTTTCCGAGAAGGCTAAGAGTAGATCTTTTCTACCAGAAAATCTGGGGTGTGGCTGAAAGACAGCGGTAAGAAGGAGCCAAGGAGTAGCAGTAGAAAGGCTGCAGAAAGAGTCAGGGGCTCAGAGGAGGGGGTGGGGGCAGAAAGAGGAGACGAAAGCAACCGACAGAACATGGCTAGAGAGCAGGAAAGGAGGTAAAAGGTGCCAATTTTAGAGAAGAAAAATGTTCGTCATTACCCGGATTCGAACCCGGGACCTTTGAATGAGAGGCCAACAGCTTAACCTCTAGGCCATGAGAGCCCCCGAACTCTGTTTTTATGGAGACATAAAAGATGTTGAGCCGAGACATAAAAGATGTTGAGCCAAAAAACAAAAAATACTAAAAATATTGTCAAACTTTAGAAAAAAATGCCTGTTTTTTTTTTAAATTTCAATATTTTGACGAGCGCCTGATTTCACACGATGCTTCCCACATTTTCATCAACACAACATGCAAGATATTACTTACCTGTAGACCAAGTCAAAAGAGGCGTATTTCTTCCCCTCTCTCTGTACCTTGTGCTCAGGCCGACTGTATGGATGGGCACGACGACCTTTCCGGTCATCTGCTATCTGCTCAACTCCTCTGCCACGGACAGGTTGGCCCTGCTAGAGAATTGAATGGAGAAAAAAGTACAATCTATAACCAAAGACTTTTAACAACTGTTAGAAAAACTACCATCCCAAAAAGTTACTAAAAAATACAGGCCACCAACTAATTTAAGGACTTTTATGCACTACAGTCAAAGATGACCTTGACAGAGGGGAAAATCCCAAAGACAAGACTTGAAACCATCTGAATCACCATGGTCTCCAACCTGCCTGCAACGACATCAAATAAATATATATATTTCATCTCTGAAAGGAAGAAACAATTTGAAAAGTGTGCAGCCAATGGAACTTTAACTTGTTATACTTTTTTTTTTCTCTGGCATCAGCAGCAAATTTAAACATTTGTCCCAAAGAAATTATTTTTTTCTTTCTCTTTGCTAGCCCTGCCCCTGTGTGTATCTTGTTCTGTTAGCTTCTTACACGGCACAAATGTCAATACAATGTGAACATGACTGTTCAATCCTACCCTGAGATTTATTATCAACATAGCCTAACACGTTTTCATCATACTCCTGACAAATAAAGGTAACAGTCACCAGCATGTCAACCATAAAGCACTAAAATATTCCATCACAGAATGCTTTGTTCTTAATATTATGACAATATCAGATGAAATAAGTGTAGAAAGATTGCTGCATCATTTCAGGACAGAAACAGAGAGTAATTTAAAGGTCTCCTAGACTGTCATATATTTGTGTTATTGTGGCATTTCAATTTCAGTGCACAAGAACAAAATACTGCCACACATGTTTTCCTCCTACTCCTATTACACCAGATACCCAGCGGGTGGACACGAGCGACCACTATGAGACAGAGTAGAATAGAGGGGTAGGGATAGGGGAAGGGTTAGGGTTAGGATAAGGGGTCTAAGGGTTAGAGTTTGGGGTAGGGTAAGAGTTTGGGGTAGGGGTAGGGTTTGGTCTTTTCTTTATAATTGTGTTTGTTGGGTGACCACCCCAGCAAACACAATTTGAAAAGACATAACCTACAAGTACCCACAAAACCTCAGCCCAGGTCAAAATAAAAAAACTAACTTCCTGATTTAATCCAAACCCTGGACTTCCCTCACGTTTTATTTCATAGATAGTGGTCATTCGTTACGGAATTCCCCCCTTAAAAAATACCCAGATCTGTGAAATTCTGAAAATGGAGCGTTTCAGCCTTCAGGCAAAACTTAAACATTTGGACTCCATTCTGATTCAAACAGTTCACCCGTCTGCAAGATAGCCACAGTCTTACAGTGAGTATTTAAAGTCCGTAGGTTGACTGGGCCACATTGATCGTTAAAAACAACAAGGTAATTTAATACAGTAGTCTCCGCCTAAGGTCCCACTGCTTATGGTCCCGGTTAGGCATATACATACATATATATAAAGTCACCCCTAACATCCCGCACTGAAGGAGCTACATTCCGCTAAGAGTCCAATTTTCAGGTCATAATTTACTTTTTTTTCTTCTTTATTTAAGAAGAAAAAAAAAAAGAAAGAAATCTGGGCACGCTCAACTGATCAACCAAGTAGCGAAAATGTGCAATCATTGTACGGTCCGTCACGTCACTGATCATTCACCCTCATGAATGCTATCAAACCTCTGTTGTAAATCTCGATAACGGTTACCATGTTTACCCCAGACAGGATCGCACGAAAGTGTGAACTCGTCGATGCCTTGCTTTCCCCGATCTCCTGAGCCGTCTGCCTGATCTTACATCACACACTAGGTGGGGAGAGCCAACAAGCAAGCGTCAGACTGCATTCTATCAAACAGTGAACTCATAGACGTTTACGTTTTCCCGACCATCGCTCTTGTCTTTCAGTTTTGCACTCTAACTTCCTAGACAGACTGGCACCCATACTCAAGGACTGTCCGATAGCCTTTGCATAAATGGGGTCATCTGTTGGCAGTGAACCTGCCTTTCATTATTATTTTAAAATTTGGTCGGTGTGGTCACAACGGTCGTGACAACCCAACTATTTATGATGCATCATGACATGGGCAGGGAACTCCGTAACGGTTAAAGATGGAAAGCAATAAATTTTTGATTGGGGGGCATTGCTTGAAACCAACTAGTTCCCACCTGACACACTATTTTTTTTTAGGCCGCCTCTATTTCTCTGAACATTCGGAAAAAAAACTGAAACTCTTCTGCGAACCGTTTCCGTTCTCGAGATTTGTTGATAATACTTGCGAATGGAATGGGGCGTGAGTGTGTGTGTAGAAGTGTGCATGTCTGTCTGTAGGCCTAAGGTGTGAACGGGGCCTGGGTGGGGTGGGAGATTTTTTTTATTTTATAAGAAAGGATTTTATTTTTTGCTGGATGACTAAATGCAAAATAGGTTACTGCCAAGGTCGATCAGTCTTGTTTTCTCGCAGTACCTTTTGAAGGCATTTTCAAATGAAGTACAGTCCGGGAACGTTGCCCCAACCACAACTGAAGTATCTGAATATTCAGACACATTTAACAATCTCTACCTCTAGAAATTAAATTTGATGCAAAAAACGCTTCTTCCCAGTCCTCGAAGAATGGCAGAATGAAAGATGACGCCTAAATCTGGCAAATAACCAAAAAATCTCGAGATCGGAAACTGTTCAGAGAAATAAGAGTTCAAGTTTATTTTCCAGAACGTTCTGAGAAATAGTCACTTCGTTTTTTTAAAGCCTCACCCCCTGCCCCCAAACAAACTTTAAAAAAAAAAAAAAAGGAAAAACTGACTTCTGAAAAGAACTTTTAGTGCCCATGAGTCACGTCAGTTCATTTTAAAGTAAGGAAAGATCATTGTAGATTATGAGCCTGACCATGAGTTACTGTGGATTCTTCCCCCCTGGACATTCAGATAACTTCTCACACTCACAGTTCGCTTAAGATCCCGCCTTTTCCTTGCTCCCAAGCACTGGGATCTTAGGTGGAGACTGCTGTAGTGGCTTATTACTATAATTCTAATCTTAGTCTAGTGTTGAAAACTAAACCAGTGCCACATTAAGTTCATTAACTGACATTATAATATAAATATATAAAAACAATTCAACAGACCTGACTGCTTAATATAAAGGATTTCAAACTTCCTTTGGAAGCTGGAATATCATCATCATCAGTTAAAGTCACAGGAAGAGAACTTTCCTTTGACATGCTGAGACTCTTTTGCTTGACTCCATCTTCATTACATACAGGATCAACATGAGTAATGCTGCAAAAATTCCCAGAACCATCCTGCTCGTACCCTTTATCTTTATCTGACACAGGTATCGAATGCGTGAGAGAACCAACAAAATGTGTCAAAGTAGTAGAACTTGTTGGAAATATGCTTCCAAAACAGGCTTGAAAGGAAGCTTCCTGGATGATTTCATCATTCTTCAGGCGAACCAATTGAGACAGCTCATGGGGTACTAAAATTTTAAGTTCTTCTTCGAGCTTCTTTCTCCTTTTATTGGCCCGGAAGCGAGCTTTCTTAGACATGCTCGATTTGGAATTGATTATAACTCTCAGTTCTTTATAAATATGCCTCAATCTTTCTTCAAGTCTTTGCCTTTCATTGTTGGATTTTTCAAGAACACATCTTTGAAAATTTATCTGTAAAATCTCTTTTTCAAGCTTCTTTCTCCAAAGTAGATCACTTTCTGAACTTTCTCTGGTTACCATATTACCATGAAATTTTTCAAAAATACCATTGTCCTCTTCAAAAAGCTTAAATTTTCTTTCAGTTTCAGCAATGGTTTTTTTCATGGCCTCTCTATGAAGCTCTAAAAGTTCTATTTCCTCTTTCATCATCTTTCCTTCTTTACTTATTTTTTCCAGATAAAAATGAATTTCTGTGAGCTGTCCAGCTTCATCTACTTGCTTGCATGTCCCAATTGCTAAACTATCTCTTTGGGTCATGATTCGTTCAGACTGATGATCTACTTGGCCAAAACTATTCATCCTCTCCTTTAATACTTGTTTTGCTTTGGATTTGCCATTGTATTTCAAAGCCTTGTGGTGGCGGCATGCCTTAGATTGATTTCTCATTGGGAAGTGATCATCTGGCACTAGAATGGAAGAACTGCACCCACTGCTTGATAATTCACCACGACTCAAATCAAGTAGCTTTTCTCCAATGGAGCGTTCTAGCGTCGCCTTAAATTTAACCATTCTGTCGCCTACACTTTGAGTTCCCAAGGCAAACAAAATAAAGGGAATTTTTAAAATGTATGTATTTTGTTAAGTGAGAATCAAGACACGAAGTGAAAATGTCAGTTGCATCATTAACTTTTAAAATGTATTTAGTGTAAACTGTACAGTAACTGTAAAGTACAGACATTCAAACAACAGAGAGTAGGCCTATTTTACCAGACCGCACATAAAAAATTTCTTCACCTCAAGAATGCTTCACTGATACTGATAATGTTTTTGTCAATTTAAGTTTTCCGAGTAACACATATTCACATATTGTGCATGTTATGAAATGGGGTCCCGTTCAGTATCATTCACATGGTGGAACCATATTTGGATAGATGAAAAATTTTTTTGCGAATTATATTGTGCTCAGCAAAGAGAAATTTTAAGACAGGGCATCCTTGGCTTTGTGGGCTTTACTTTCGTCTTTTCAGACCTCTATTCACAAGATGAATTATAAACTGCTGTTCCACATTTTTTAAAAGGGTTTCTTTTTAAAAATGAATAAAAATACACAGCTTACAGACAGAACAATTGGTTGCTAGAGTCTAGATCTATAATTATAATTATTTCACAGAGGGGATACATTTAGCGTTAGTATTTACAATACATTCCTTGACATAGTAGCACAATGATTGTGCACCAGATGAGCTGAGGAAGGGACAATTCTTGAATAAGTTAAAGAAAGTAGTGTTGTCAGTGTTGGCCTACTGGTTTGACAAACAATATGACCACTAGTCACTAGATTCTCATGTCATAGCCACAGAAGGCTAGAGATATAGTCTACACTACACACACTACACGGCAAACATTTGCTTTGTTTACATTCCTTTGGCTTTGGTCAGGTTGA